TTTTTTTTTTTTTTAATGTTTGAAAGTAAAAACAATACTGTAGTGATGGATCTTTCAGGGTGAAAGGTATTTTAAGAAAACTTTGGTGAGGGGAGGAAAGATGCCCTTGAAGTTTTACCATTTAAGTGCCTCATGAGATGGTGACTGTTGACTAATTCCACTTGAATTAATCACATGCCACATTTATGGGATGCAGAATTGGGAGAGTATAGAAGTGAGTATATCTGTAGTTTCATGCCACCCTAAAGGAAGTAGAACTGTAGTTTAATGACTGTATTCTGATTTGCAGTGATTTTTTTGGGGGGAGTTTAAAAATATGTGTTCATTTTCTGTCAGAGAGAAACACTGTATAAATATATTAAGAGTTTAGAAACCAGTACTCTCCTTGCCTGAGGTTTAGTCTAAAGAATGTAGAAAACTTGTCCTTTGCCTTTTTTTCAGACTGACATTTAAGATGAATGGAACTCACCTATGCTTTATTTTTCTTTTTCTCAAAAGTTGTTTTGTAGGATACAGGAGAGTTCTCAGGTGCTTTATAAACTGGAGCAAAGTAGATCCAAACATGAGCCAGAGAATGAGTTATCCAAACAGCACCCTTCTGTATCTTTACAGCAGTATAAGGTAGGTGACCTGTTTCTGGACTTAAGGATTTTTACGAAACCTAGAGCAATTATGAATAAACGTTAAAGGGAAATAAATGGAAGTCTTGTAGTGAATAGCGTTTCTGTGCTTTTTTTCCCCTTCAATCTGGGTTTTACATATTCCTTCTGGCGCTTTGGTACTTCTCTTGAGGTACTCTGAGTTATAGAACCAGTGCTGGACTTGAGTCCTGTTACAGAATAACAGTAATGGGTTCACCTCAATCATTTACAGCTTAATGGGGGCTACATTAATTTAGTACTTTAACAGAAAGGTAATTGCTGGCCCTGAACTCGTCCACCCCTCCCCAGGGTAGAAGATTGCTATATCGGAGCCTGCTTCTTCTTTAGACTAACATGACCTACAGTGGCTTGATATTAGTGCTTCCTGGTCTGTGGTCCAGCTATGGAGTTTCCAGTCTATTCCATTTGGGAGGGAGTGTGAAGAGTAGGACTAGGTTTCAGGGTGCTGTGCTAATGGGATGGATGGAACCCCAGACATAGAAGCTCTAGACTGGGCCAAAGCTTAGCTTGACAACCTTCCATTTCTGTCCATCAGGAGTTTTTCACTGATTTCTTACTCCAAATCTAGCCTCTCAGAAGCAGGCTCTTATTTTCTTCTAAGACTCAGAGGACAGGGGCACCTGGGTGGCTCAGTCCATTAAGCCTCTGACTTTGGCTCAGGTCATGATCTCACAGTTCTTGAGTTCAAGCCCCACACCAGGCTCTGTGCTGACAGCTCAGAGCCTGGAGCCTGCTTCAGATTCTGTTTTCCTCTCTCTGCCCCTCCCAGCTTGACTCCCTCTCTCTCTCAAAAATAGAACATTAAAAAAATTTAAGATTCAGAGGACACGAGTTCATTTATTTTCTTTCATTTAGCAAAATAGTTGTGATGAATTAATGATACATTGGAGCCATTACATACAACCTATTCCAAACATTAGTATGGATGGCCTTAGCTTTCAGCTTTGTATTTGAAAGGTAAAAAAATCATGTAAAGGAGAATATTTCTATACCAAGTTTGAAGTCACCTTCAGCTTTGTAAAATCCCAACAGCGAAGATTGGAAAGTTACAACCTAAACATGAAAGACATCGGTATAGTCCCATATCTGCCACTGGCTAGTTGGCTTACCTTATGAGTCTGTTAGACTCTAAGTGGGGTGAGTACCTTCTCTAGAAAGGTTGTTCTTGAGGATTAAACGAGAAAGCTGTTTGTAAACTCTAAATCACCCTAAAAAGCCTTGCTGGGAGTCATTAAAAATGATTAGTGTGTATACTGAGCACTTGCTTTTTGTTTGGAGCACTCATTTTTAGCCTTTCTTAGATCATTACTAGGTGATCTAAGAAAACATGGCTCTTTTGCCTGTTTTTGCAAGGGGTAAAATAACATTTGTGAAATCTGAATTAGGTACTTAGAAAGACAAAACCTTTGTTATAGATTGACATTCTGAATTTGTGTGGATACCTGGTTTCTTAGTTTGTCTTTGTGAATATATATGTTTTTGAAAATAGTCCTTTAGAGTCTTCACCTGAGTCAATCTCATGGTTCTGATATTTTTTCCCAACTGTAGTCACCTGTGGCTTTTGGCAGTTGTGACTTTGACACTATATTATTTATCATCATCTTTATAATAGTGGGAATAGTGGGTGTCATGCACAGTGTATGATAGGCTTGGTGCCTATCACTCCCCCAGAGTGAATCCTGGGGGAGAAGAGGAGGCTATTAGTTGGGAAGGGTGTCTTCTAGTCTAGTGAAGGAGATTATTTCATACCTAAATAACTAATAGTAATCGCTAGAGTACTTTTAAATTTACAAAATGCTTTGTATCCACATTTTCATTTAAACTTTAATAACAAAACTGTGAGAGGCATTATTATCCTCACTTAAAAATGAGAAAATTAGGGCGCCTGGCTGGCTCAGTTGGAAGAGCGTGTGACTCTTGATCTCGGGGTTATGAGTTAAAACCTGACGTTGGGTGTAGACCCCACTTAAAAAAAAAATGAGGGGCGCCTCGGTGGCTCAGTCAGTTAAGCGTCTGACTTCGGCTCAGGTCATGATCTCACAGCTTGTGGGTTCGTGCCCCACATCAGGCCCTGTGCTGGCAGCTCAGAGCCTGGAGCCTGCTTCAGATTCTGTCTCCCCCTCTCTCTCTCTGCCCCTCCCCCACTCACACTCTGTCTCTCTCTCTCAAAAAATAAATAAAACATTAAAAAAAAAAAAATGAGTGGTGACCGGGTGGCTCAGTTGGTTAAGCGCCCAACTTTGGCTCAGGTCGTGATCTCCCTGTTTGTGAGTTCAAGCCCTGCATCGGGCTCTACACTGACAGTGCGGAGCCTGTTTGGGATTCTCTCTCCCTCTGTGCCCCTGTCCTGCTTGCACTCTCTCTTTCAAAATAAATAAACTTCAAGACAATGAGAAAACTGCATCTTGGAAAAGTTGAGTAACCTGCCCAAGGTCCCTCAGCTACTAAGTGGTAGAGCCAGACTCCTATCCACATCTGCTCTTATTTCTAAAATCTGAATAGTGTTTTCCCTAATACCTGCTTATTTGAAAGCTTGGAAGTGAAAAAGTGCAGGGAGAATTTGTGAATGACACGTAAGGTACTTGGAGGACCAAAGGAGCTGAGTAACAGGAAATAAGTTAGAGAATCAAGTTGGGGATGGGTAGCAATTTTTTTTTTTTTTTTGCTATAATAATCAAAACAGAGCTTAACTAACACACTGTGTGTGTATGTATAAATAAAGTTTCCTTTTTTTCCCTAGGGAATACAGGTATTTTGTTTGTTTGTTTGTTTGTTTGTTTGTTTGTTTGTTTGTTTTTATCTATAAGGAGATATGTCATGGAGGTTTAGGAATTTCATACTTGTAGTTACACAGTTAACAAGTGACAAAGCTGGAAATAGAAACCAATTTCATATCTGTGGTTGGCTTTCCTCTCTGGTCACCTAAGTGTTCCATCTTCTATGCATGAAAATGTAGCATAACAGTAGAATTAAACATACAGATATTTGTAATTTGAAATATATCACTTTAAACAATTTTAATGTTATTTTTCAATAGCCTGAATTATAACATGGCAAAAAGTCTTAAAGGCAAGTAGGGAAAACACCTGAGTAATCTAAAGGGATTTTGAATGCTAGGCTAAGGTATTTGGGAGCCTCACTAGGAGCTGTTAAAAGTGACAAGAACATATATTGAGCTTCTCCTATATGTATAGGACAATATGCTTAGGACTAGGGATATAAATGTATGAACTGTGGTCCATGCCTCCCTGTGGGAGTCTGCTTGAGAGAAAGAACTATTTCTAAAAATATAAATGATAGTACAGTTAGGATAAGATCATTCTTTTTTTAAAAAAATGTTTTTAATGTTTATTTTTGAGAAAGAGAGACAGAGCACAAGTGGTGGAAGGGCTGAGAGAGAGGGAGACCCAGAATCAGAAGCAGGCTCCAGGCTCTGAGCTGTCAGCACAGAGCCTGATGTGGGGTTCAAACTCATGAACCCAAGATCATGACCTGAGCCGAAGTCAGACACTCAACCAACTGAACCACCCAGGCACCCCAGGATAAGATCATTCTTTTTTTTTGTTTGTTTAACATTTATTTATTTTTGAGAGACAGAGAGAGACAGAGTATGAGCAGAGGAGGGACAGAGAGAGAGGGAGACAGAATTCAAATCAGGCTGCAGGCTCCGAGCTGTCAGCACAGAGCCTGATGCGGGGCTCAAACTCACAAACCGCGAGATCACGACCTGAGCCGAAGTTGGACGCTCAACCGATTGAGCCACCCGTTGTCCCGGATAAGATCATTCTTAAAGGATGAACTTGTTGTCCTTTAAACAATTTTTTTTTTTTTAATTTTTTTTAACGTTTTATTTTATTTTTTTTGGGACAGAGAGAGACAGAGCTGAAACGGGAGGCAGAGAGAGAGAGGGAGACACAGAATCGAAAGAGGCTCCAGGCCCTGGTTTTCATCAGCCCAGAGCCTGACGCTACAAGTCTAACCCACGTAGGATCATTCCATGATCGGACTGGTTTAGAAGCTTCCAAGAACTGATCACTGGCGCCACCCAGCTCTGAACTTGTTGTCCTTTAATGTGAATACTATGTCATTCATTTTATAATAAAATAACTAGGACATTAAATAACCACCTTATTGCTTGAAACCCAATATGATATTTTTTAATTTTTTTTTGAAACCCAATAGGTTTTAAAAAAAAAATTTTTTTTTTGAAAGAGACATAATTATGCAGTAGGGGAGAGGCTATGGGGTGATATGTGGTGGGAAAGAAGAAATTTTTTTTTTTTTTTTTTTTTTTTTTTTTTTTTTTTTTTTTTTTTTTTTTTTCTTATAATATATAGAGGAAAACAAGAGAGTGAGAGGGAGAGAGAGAGAGAGAATCCCATGAGGGGCAGAGAGAGAGAGAAGCAGGGCTCATCCAAAGTGGGGCTCAAGCTCACCCGATGTGGGACTTGAACTCACCAACCGCAAGATCATGACCTGAGCCAAAGTCAGATGCTTAATCGACTGAACTACCTAGGTACCCCAGAGAGAAAGAGAATCTTAGGCAGACTCACCTCAGCATCACAGTGTGGAGCCTAGCCAGTTTCATCCCATGACCTGAGCTGAAATCAAGAGTTGGAAGCTCAACTGACTGAGCCACACAGGTACCCCAAAACCCAATAGATTTAATAGACTAATAAAGTCTTACTTAGGGCTTGTAAGGGCCTACACGATAAATCCCCATGATTGTATGTCATTGACCAAAGAAATGAATGCCAAGGTCCTTTCTGGAATCAGTTGGGACTAGAACTGCGTATGTGCTGCTCAGTTATATGTTGTTGGGGCATAGTGGTATATGAGATGCTTGAGAATCATAGCTTTTCCTTCTAAGTTTTCTCTTCAGTCTTACACAGAAATAGTAATAATTATTAGTATTTTAACCAGAGGAAGAAGACTTTATCTTGGATAAACTATTTCCCATTTTGCTTTTTTTTAAATTGCATTTTACTAAAAGTTTCCATTTTTTTCCTTAACATTTATATAAAGAGAATGGTAGAGCCAGAGTCTCAAAGGGGAAGATAGAATACAGTGGAATAGTTGGGTCTTTTTATGATCTGTGTCATTAGAGGCACATTTATCAAGTATTTACCAAATTTATCAAAGTAGTATGTATTGGATTTTGGGGGGGTCATTAAAAAAAACTTTAAAAAATATACATACTCGAATGCCTCTGGTGAAGAAACCAATATTCGTACGGCTTTAGCACAAGTCAGAGCAGAATGGATCTTGTTCTCACTAAAAATGTGTACTTTTTTCTTGTATAGACTACAATAGAAATTGTACTCCTTGACCCTATAGAGAGAGGGTTACGGTCAAGGGTACCAATCTGAATTGTCAAGGAAGTGAACAACTAGTATTGTTTTAAAAAATATTTTCCCTGTTAATTAAAAAAGAAGCCCAGTTCGGGCACCTGTGTAGCTCAGTCAGTTAAGTGTCTGACTCTTGGGTTTGACTCAGGTCATGATCTCACTCCTTCATGGGTTCGAGTCCTATATCGAGTTCTGCGCTGGCAACATGGAGCCTGCTTGGAGTTTCCCTCTCTCTCTGCCCCTCCCCAGTTTGCACTGTCTCTGTCTTCTCAAAATAAATAAATAAACATTAAAAAAAAAAAAAAAAAGAACTCCACTCTTTTTTTTTTTTAATTCAAATCCCAGTTAATTAACACATAGTGTAATAATGGTTTCAGGAATAGAATTTAGTTATTCATCACTTATGTATAACACCCAGTGCTCATCCCAACAACTGCCCTCCTTAATGCCCATTTAGCTCATCCCCTCACCCAACAGCTCTCCAGCAACCCTGTTTGTTCTCTGTATTTAAGAGTCTTTTATGGTTTGCCAAAAAAAAAGAACCCCACTCTTAAAGGTGTTACTTTGAAGATAACCTATTATGAGTTAAGTTACTTACTATAATTTTTTTTTTTTTTTTTTAGAATTTCATGTCATCCATTTGCAACAGTCTTTTTGAAGCGCTGTTTCCTGGTTCTTCCTACCCAACTAGATTTTCAGCTTTAACCATTTTAGGCTCAGTAGCTGAAGTTTTTCCAGTCCCAGAAGGTAAGCTTTCAATAATGTTTAGAGAAAAGTATTTTTTTCTTGCAAAACACATACTTTTTTCAACATTTTGTCTTACTTAAAGTTTTAGTTTTGTCATCTTTTATTTAGGTTCTTATAGGAGGTTTTATTCTCACTATATAATTCTTCCTTGGACATAATTAAATTTGTCATTTAGGGACGTAAGGCTGAGGAATTGTTTTCAGTGATCATTATTTCCCAACCCAAAACTGCAGTTTTCACGGATTATGCTTATGATGAGAAGAGTGGCTTCTCTCAACCCCCAATTCATGTGTTGCTGTTTTCAGATAGTGTACAATCTGTCCTTTAAGTTTTAAAAATTAAAAAAAATAATAGCTTCTTTAAAAAAAATAATAGCCTCTTTATGTAAAACATTCCTCAGTGAGTCTTTGTGGTTAAAATGTGGTTTCCCTTATATGCTCTCAGTTTCATAAGTCCCAGTCTGGTTTCAGAAAGACAGTATGTGGATGTCATTTCCAGGCATTCTGGTTTAATGATACCCTTTATTTCGCCTGTGGGGTACTCAAGAGGATGAACATTTAACTTCCTTCTGAGTCAGTTCTTTTCCTTTCTGACAACAAATAGTTCTTTTTATCCCTGCACTTAATTAAGTGTGTACGTTTTAATGTGGATTTCTTGTTTGTGCTCAGTGTTCCTTGACTGTGGTTAAATAGAAAAATATCCTGCTCAGCTGTTCTTTTGGAGGGAATGGCCAGAGGACCAGGAGGCTTTACACTGTAATTGGGTTATTATTATTTTTAGTTTAAATTTTTAGGCAAAGTGTAATGTTTTGGCAGGGAGGAGGATGGTTTTTGCTGTTCATGCAGCCCTGCTTCATTTAAAGAACACCATTTTTTTTTCCAAGTTTTTGTTTTGAAAAGATTCAAACCAAGAGCAAAGTTTTAAGAATAGTTCACAAACGGCCATGTACCCTCTACCTAGATTCATCAGTTGTTATTATTTTGCTATATTTGGTTTATCTCTCTTTCATTATTTTTTTTTTTAACCACAACACAGTGATCAAATTCAGGAAATTTAATGTTGATATGCTATTATCTATTATATAATCCACAACAAAATTTGCCAGTTGTCCCAATGAGTGGCCTTTCTTAGAAAAAGATTTTTACTGTGATCCGGGAACCAATCCCAGATCACACATTGCATTTCACTGTTATGCCTCTTAAGCCTCCCTTAATCTGGAAAGTTTTTTATTTCGTGACATTAACATTTTGAGAGAATGGATCTCCATTTGGGTTTGCCTTATTGTTTCGTCATGATTGATTCAGGTTGTGCGTTTTTGGTAGGTATAATGCATAAGTAATGTGGTGTTCTTCTCAGGGCATGTTATCAGGAGATACATGATACTGGTTTGTCCTGTTATTCATGGTAATTAATTTGATCACCTGATTAAGGTAAGTGTGGTAGGCCCAAGCTCGACCTACAAAAGATAGCATCAAATCCTTAGAACCTGTTAATGTGAACTTTACCTAGAAAGCGGGCCTTTGCAGATATGATTAAGTTAAGGGTCTTAAGATAGTCCTGATTATGTGGGTGGGCCTAAATCCACCACAGCTGTTGTTATTAGAGAGGAACAGAGGGAGATGTGACACACAGAAGAGGAGGAGTCAACAGTGGACATGGAGATTGGAGTGATATGGCTTCAAGCCATGGAATACTGGCAGCCATCAGAAGCTGGAAGAGGTGAGCAATGAGTTCTTAGAACCTCCAGAGCGAGTGTGGCTCCACCGGCACCTTCATATCAGACTAATTGGACATTAGTCAAAATGGATCCAGTACTGTGAAAAAATAGATTTCTCTGGTTTTAAGTCACCAGGTTTATGGTAATTTGTGACTTTATGCACAGAAAATGAATACGGGGCTATCCCATCGGTTTAAGGAATTTATGTTGTATTATAACTTAATTTAGAAGATAAGGTTTTTTGTTTGTTTGTTTTTTACATTTTTTTGATGTTTATTTAGTTTTGAAGGAGAGAGAGGGAGAGCATGAGAGGGGGAAGTGCAGAGAGAGAGGGAGACACAGAATCCGAAGCAGGCTTCACGCTCCGAGCTGTCAGGACAGAGCCTGACGCGGGGTGTGAACCCATGAACTGTGAGATCATGACCTGAGCCGAAGTCAGACGCTCAACTGACTGAGCCCCTAGAAGATAAGGTTTTACCTGAGAATGATTGATTATCCATTTAACAAAAATTTTTCTGTGTTTAGTGTAGTTATAGTTGCACCTAGGTGTATGGCAATAATAGTAGGCTGAATTAATATTGGTAACTTTTTAAAGTTTATTTATTTGAGAGAGAGAGAGAGTGCATGGTGGAGGGGCAAAGAGAGAAGGAGGGAATCTCAAGCAGGCAGTGCAGAGCCCCATGCAGGGCTCGAACTCACGAACCATGAGACCGTGCCCTGAGCTGACACCAAGAATCAGGTGCTTAACCTGACTGAGCCACACAGGCACCCCAATATTGTTATTTTTTTAATTGAGAGAGTAGTTTAGTTAATTAATTTTATTATTTTTTAGAGTTTATTTATTTTGAGAGACAAAGGGAACACGTGCAAGCAGGGGAGGTGCAGAGAGAGAGGGAGAGAGAAAAAGAATCCCAAGCAGGCTCTGCGTTACCAGCACAGAGCTGGATTTGGGGCTTGAACTCATGACCTGAACCCAAGTCAAGAGTTAGGCATTTAACCAACTGAGCCACCCAGGCTCTGTGAGTAGTTTAATATATTTAAATGTACTTTAAAAGTGAAAAACCTGAGTCATCTTCCTAATGAGTGAGTCACATATAATTGGGCAGTGACTGATATCACAGTAATTATGTTAATTAAACAACTGGAGGGTAATGCAAATGGAGCAGGCCACACTTTACCCATTAACTGTAAAGGAGGCCAAAGAGGCATGGCTGTGAAATACAGTGTGGGAAACATAAATTCATTCTTCATACTTATCTCAAGAACTTGAATGTGGGTTTTTATTTTATTTTACTGATGTGGGATTAGTCAAAATGGTTTCTGCCTTTACTCAAGTATATCTTAAGTTCAAGAAGAATAAGCCACATGTTCCTTTTTCACTGAGAGTAAAATGTCATGGTATTCATGGTGCAAAATTGGATTCCACAGTTATATTAAAAGGGTTTGCTCAGCAAATACTTCTTCAGTGCTTATTACATGTCAAGCAGCCAAGGATATGCAGTGTACAAAGCAAAATGGTTCCTATTAAAAAAAATTTTTTTTTTTATTTGGGAGAGAGCAAGAGAGAGAGTGAGCATGGGCAGGGAAGGGCAGAGGGAGAAGGAGAGAGGGAGAATCCTAAGCAGGTTCTATGCCTAGCACAGAGCCCAATGTGGGGTTCACTCTCACAACCTGGGATCATGACCTGAGCCAACACCAAGAGTTGGATGGTCAACAGACTGAGCCACCCAGGTGCCCCAAAATGCTTCCTATTTTTGAGCTTAGATATTTCAGTGAAGGGAGACAGACAATAAATTAACAAGTAATGTATAGAATTTCAGATGAGAGAAGTATTATGAAAAAATATTTCAGGAAGGAAAGTGGGGGGAATATTGAGTGTCTGCTAGGATGGGAAGCTGTTTCTGTCCGTGGTGTCAGAGATGGTTTCAGATTTGAGCAAAGCTCCTAAACGAGCAGCAGGTCAAAGAAGAAATCACAAAGGAGATTAGAAAATACTTTGAGATGAATGAAAACCAAAGTACGATTTACCAGAACTTACGGGATGAAGCAAAAGCTTATAGGGAGATTTACAGCTGTAAACGCCTACATTAAACAGAGAAATGATCTCAAATCAATAACTTAACTTTACACCTCAAGGTATTAGAAAAAGAAGAGCAAACAGCCCACAATTAGCAGAAGGAAGGAAATAATAATATGATAAATGAGTGAAATGGAGAATAGGAAAACATTATAGAGAATCAATGAAACCAAAGTTGGTTTTTTTTTTAAGTTGGTTTTTTTAAAAGGTCAACAAAATTGACAAAATTTTAGCTACAAGAAAAAAACAAAAGAAGGTGCAAATAACTTACGATCAGAAATGTAAGCAGGGACATTATTCTATTGACCTTATAGAAATAAAAATGATTATAAGACAATACTATGAACAATTGTATTTTCAATAAATTGGATAACTTAGATGAAATGGACAGATTCCTAGAAACATAAAGTTACTGACTTAAACAGAGAATTTGTTATGTGTAGCAAATAAGAGATGGAGTCAGTAATCAAAAGCGTATCAGCAAAGAAAAGTCTAGAGGGAGTGGCTCCACTGCTAATTCTACCAAACATTTAAAGACTTAAAATCAGCCCTTCTCAGACTCTTCCAAAAAATTGGACAGAAGGGAACATTTCCAGACTCATTCTGTGGAGCCAGCATCACCCTGATACCAAAGCCAGACAAAGATACCACAAGAAAACTATAGGCTGGTATCCCTTATAAACATAAATATAAAAATTCTTAACAGAATGTTAGCAAACCAAACCCAACAGCATATTAAAAGTATTATACCCATAGCTAATTAAGTGGAATTTATTCCAGGAATGCAAGGGTGGTTTAACATAAAAAAAAAAAAAGGGGGTCAATGTAATACACCACATTAAAATGAAGGGGAAAAAAAAACCATGATAATCTGTATTGATGCAGAAAAGTGTTGACAAAATTCAGCAGCTCCCTGTCATGATAAATAACACTTAGGAAACTAGGAATAGAAGGGAGCTTGCTTGCTTGCTTGCTTGCTTTCAGTTGTTTTGAACATTTATGTATTTTTGAGACAGAGACACACACGAGCGGGGTCGGGGGGGGGGCGGTTGGGGAGGTGCAGAGAGAGAGGGAGACACAGAATCCAAAGCAGGCTCCAGGCTCCAAGCTGTCTGCACAGAGCCCGACTTGGGGCTCAAACTCAAGGACCTTGAGATCATGACCTGAGCCAAAGTCAGATGCTCAACCTACTGAGCCACCCAGGTGCCCCGAAGGGAGCTTTCTTAATAGGATAAAGGACATTCATGAAAATCGCACCATACCTAATGGTGAAAGATCGAAAGCCTTTCCTCTGTGATCAGGAACAAGATACAGATGTCCACTTTGACCACTACTGATCACCAGTGTACTGAAAGCTTTAGCCAGAGCAGTAAAGCAAGAAAAAGAAATTAAAAGCATCTGAGTTGGAAAAGAAGCAAATTTGAACTGAGGTGTAAATAAATGACAAAAACTTGATTTACTTGCTCTAGGAGTTTCACAGGGTTCCACTAACTTGTTAAGATTAAATAAGAAATGCACATCATATTGAATATCATGCCTCAAATTAACATAGGAATGTTTTCAGGTATTATCAGTGGTTAATTTGTTAAGTGTTCTTTACATTCTGCTGTGAAGCCCATTATTCCCATAGTTGTTTAGTCTTAATCTTAGATTTAAGTGGACTTGGTGACTACCATCATTCTTTTGTGATAGTTTTTCTGTTCATTTCTTGGTTGGCTGAAATTCATCTTTTCTTTGAGAAGAGTTTTTGGGGAAATGTAGTTCTTAATTTCTTATACCTCCAGAAATGCTTATGTTGCTGTTACACATGATGCTGGAATAGGATTTTGATGTATAATTTTTCACCACAACTTTCCCTGAGGATGTTGTAAGCATTGCTCCACTGTCTTCTAGCCTCACGTGTTGCTAAGGCAAAGAATAAAGCCAGCTTAATTTTTTTCCATTTTGTAGATGAATTTTGTGTCTGAATGACCAAAAGATTCCTTCTTTATCTTTGATGCTCTGTGATTCTATTAGGATATGTCATTGATTTTTCTGCATTGATTTAACTAAGATGGTAGGACTTTGGATTCCAGATCAAGACATTTTACAAAGATTTTTTAAAAGATGAATTCCGAAATTTATTTGTTTTTATTTATTTAAAAACCAACTTTGGGATCTTTTATATACAACATAATCTTTGCAAGAGAATGGTTTTAAACAAAAATTTAAAAAGTATTTTTTATTTGGGGAACTTTATTATTTTATCATTTTAGTAAATAAAGGACAAATTATTCTTTTATATGCTACTATGGATAAACTGTGAAGTGTGAATTTTTCTTTAAATTTGACCAAATAATTTAAACATGTTGATTTCCTTTTTCTTTTATTAACTTAAAAAATTATTATTTATTTATTAAAACAATTTTTTTAATGTTTATTTATTTTTGAGGGAGAGGGAGACAGAGTGTGAGCAGGGGAGGGGCAGAGAGAGAGAGGGAGACAGAATCTGAAGCAGGTTCCAAGCTCTGAGCTATTAGCACAGAGCCTGATGTGGTGCTCAAACTCATGAATTGCGAGATCATGACCTAAGCCAAAGTTGGTCGCTTAACCAACTGAGCCACCCAAACACCTTTATTTATTTACCTTTTAAAGTAAGCTCCACACCCAAGGTGAGGCTTGGTGAGATCAAGAGTTGCATGTTCTGTTGACTGAGCCAGCCAAGTGCCTCCCTCTTTTATTCACTTTTAAATCTTTTTCTTTTTTTAGGTCAAGTCCAAACAGTGTATCAGCTGAGTCATGATATCGATGTCGGTCGTTTCCAAACACTAATGGAATGTTTTACCAGTACTTTTGAAGAAGTGAAAATTTTAGCATTTGATCTTCTGATGAAGTTACCAAAAACAGTTGTACAATTCCAGGTCTTTGGTCTTTTCCTATATAGATGTAAATGTGGTATATGCATGAAAGCTTTCTAGTTTTAGCAGCAAATAAAGCAATCTGTGGATTGTCCAGGCTCTTTGCGTCTGCCTTCTCACATCTTCTGACTATTTCAGTTATCATACGTATACTGTTGCAGGGTGGTAGGTAGGGATGGATGGTAGGGAAGGAGGAAATACCATAAGAGAAAACAAAGTCCACATCTGTGAGCTTTGCTTTTTTTATTGTTTTGATAAAAAAAGGAGGTGTAAGAAGCAGTAGGTTTTATTACCCACAAGATTTTTCATAGATTTCAGTTAACTGCGGTCTCCCCAGTTCCCGTGGACATGTTAATATTCGGTCCAAACACATCACTTACAGTAACTTGAGTGTTTTGAGATAACATCCTTGCCAAGTTGACTGGGAAGCTGAGTGTAAGTGAGGTAGAGAACATGTTTCTGATCTTCCAACAAGCAGTAGCTAAACTGAGACTGAAACTCAGAGCGCTTGAAGTTAACAACAGTTCTCTTCCTTGGCCTCCTACCCCAGCCCCAGCCCCTAAGAGAAGTTGTCTCTTCCTGACAACTGGCACTTCTAGCTGTAGGATGAGAAGTGAAGGTGGGCTAGGAGTGATGGCACAACATGGGGTGCTTGGCTCTGCCCTTGAGGTATATTCTGAGGCTGTGACCACCAGTAGCTGTGGATTCACTGGCTCCAGAGCTTTGCTATGGCTTTCTGTTAGAACTGTATAGAGGCCAAAGGTGCCTACAGGGGCTGCAGCTGAGCCATAATCTGTTCTCTGGCTGTTAGGCTCTATTTAGGGCGGGACAGCTTATAGATACAATGGGATTCTATAGGAGCGCATGTCAGAGAGCACAAGGTGTCTGTTTCATTGGCTTCTATATTGCATTGCAGTATCTTAGAGCATCGTTCAGGTGCCCTGCTAAGCAGAAGCTTCTTTTGGTGCTTAGGCTTCAAACTTTTGTACCATATAGAGTTTTTAAAGGAGATGCTTTCTCTTCCTCTGTTTCCTTTCTCTTCTCCCACCTTCCCATCCTCCTTGCCCCTTACCATTCATCACACTGAAGCCTTGTATCATATAGATGACTCATACTTGGCAAATATTTCGAGAATATCTTGTGTGGGGAGGGTATATTATAGCACCTATATGAAAGACTTGGTGCTTTGATGTAACTTTAAAACGTTTTTAAATCCTAACTATTCTCTCTAAGGACCTGTGTGTGTGTATATATATGTATATATATATTTTTTCTGTGTATATATGTTTTTGATGGCATATCTTTGTAATACATGGTTTTACTACTCAGATAGTCTGTTGCCCTTTTTTCTTGTGGAGCTACATGTCCAAGGTCTTTATATTATATTTTTACTGACCTCAGATGATAGAACAAAGATATTTTAGACTCCAAAGGCCATGTATTGTGTTTCTTACTAATTGTTAGTTAAGCAATTCCGGGACTTAACTGTAAGTTACAAAAAAATGGCTTAGGTGCTCAATTGGTTCTTTCTAATATTTATTTAGATTTGAGCTTTTGGCCCCTATCTTTAAGTTTTTTAGGTCACAGAAAATTAAACACATCAAATGGCAAAGAATTTAAACTGAAAGAAATAGGTATTTGAATCAGTATGTTTGTTACCTGTTAGAAATAAATAGATTTCCAATTAAATTAAATATCAATATACCTATAACCAAATTAAAAATTAAGTTTATAATGATTTTTTCCCCTTGTATTAGACAGTTCTGGAATAATCCTAGTAGAATTAATATAATTGAGCCATGAAACCCTAAGTCCCAGTGTACTGAATATGCAGTCTGTCTACTATGGATTTGGAACTAGGACCCACATCTCCTGACTTCAGCCCAGTGCCTTTCCATGCATGTTACAGTGAACTGTCCTTTTTCTTCGTTAGGACGGACATGTGAGTGGATGTTTCTATGAGATAGAGGTAGGGGAGCTCTGATGCAGAATTTCTGAGGCTGATATGAGCACTTTATTTTTTACACATATACATGGATTTTCACCAGGAATAGCCTGGTGGATTTGTCCTTTTGTGTGGACACAACACAGGTAAAATAAACTTCAGTGTACAAAAAACTCCATGTGGAAATAACAAAGATGATCTGGCCATTTCTACAGGAAAAGCATATTTCTGCTGGAGAAAGAGGTGCTTTAAAAAAGAAAAGCATTATCAATATTGAATTTCCCAAAGAAATTACATTCAAGATCCTCATCATTAGAGCTGAATAATAATCAATAATTACTATAATAAAAAGTCTAACCTATATTCAGGGAGAAAGGGAATTGAATTAATGTTTATACTGAGTACAGTAATGTGGCAGGCTCTGTTTTTAAATATGTACTATTCCTTGAAATCAAAGAAATGTTTCAGTGACAGTTACTGAGTCTGTGATTTATTCTAGGATTCGGAGAAACTGCAAGGCTTATTCCAGGCAGCACTGGAGCTCAGCACAAGCACCAAGCCATATGACTGTGTGACAGCTTCCTACCTGCTGAACTTCTTAATCTGGCAGAATGCCCTCCCCTCATCTCTGTCTGCCTACTTACAAACTCAACAAGCTGCATGTGGTGATGGAGATACATCTGCTATTGTGGTGGAAAGGAACACATTAATGGGTTTGTATTGAATAAATGACCTTTTGCTGTCGCTTATCAAAACCAGTATCTTTCTCACTGTTCATTTAGTTAGCATTGCTAGTGGTTAAACATTTACTTGGTGTTTTTTATTTAAGAGTTTACCAGCATATGAGAATACATGAATTTCTCTTTTGCAAGTAAATAGTTTACTCAGCTATGACACTGTTTCTACACAGAGGGTTTGTGTTAAATAAGTAGATATACAAATGTATATTAACACAGCTCTTACTTAAATAGGACCTCTTTCTCTGCCAAAAATTGTGCTTTTTTTTTTTTTTTTTTTTTTTTTTTTTTTTGCAGAAATTTTACTGTATCTACAGCCAGATCATCTTTGCTGTTTCTATATAGAGCAGAGTTCCTTTGTCTGTCAGGGCTCATGCTTTCACTGGCTGTCCCACTCCTGCCTTTTACTCTTCCCATAGCCGGTTCCAAGACCTAGGGTCTAAGTTGGCTGAGGCCTAGTGACTTCCGTGAATATTTGTTGAGGACTCATGTATTTACTTTTGTGCTAGTAAATCTTCATTTTGGAATTGTGAGGACAGATATGGATTTTTATTTAAAAAGAGAGAGAGGTCAGATGTAGGAAGAGTATTAAAAGTTGTTCTCTCCAAGATGGCAAAAATGCTGTGAAAAAGAGAAGTAATAATGGGAAAAAATTAGGAGGCCCTGGGTAGTTCTGGTGGAAACGTGGCCATGGATTTGGGGATAGAGAGGTGACAGTGCCATGGAAGATGGCACTTACCCACTCTAGTTGCTTCAGGCCTGGGTTCGAAAGGAGACCCTGATACATGAGAGGAAGAGGTTTGCACTTCGGGTAAACTGGGGAGTTCATGTACAGGATTTATTTTATTCATTTTTTAATGTTTTTTTATTTTGGAGAAAGAGTGAGCGAGCAAGTGGGGGAAGGGCAAAGAGGATGAAAGAGGATCTGAAGCAGGCTCTGCACTGACGGCAGAGAGCCAATGGCGGGCCTCGAACTCATAAACCGTGAAATCATGACCTGAGCTGAAGTCGGATTCTTAACCCGACTGAGCCACCCAAGGTCCCCTCATGTACAGGATTTTTTAAATTCAAGGCATTTAAAAACTTTGTGAAATTTTTCACGCATACAAAAAATATTTAAATATATTTGGGATTTAAATAGTAATAGTATAAAAATTTCACAAGTTTTATTCCCAAGCTAGGTGATAACACACAACTTAAGAAGTACAACAGCACCCATACCTTTGAAGCCTCTCCTTTATCCTGGCTCCCTCCCCTTGCCATATAATTACTGTCCTATATATTATGTCAGTCTTTCATCTTTATTTCACCTAGATTTTGCCACCCATGTATATATCATTTAAGCAATGTATTATTTACTTTTACATGATTTTGAATTTTATATAAATAGTACCATATGTATTATACAAGTTTACTGCAATTTATTAGTACATTTTCCTGTTGATGGACTTCTTCTTTCTAAATAAGTAAAGCTGATGTGAACACTCTCGTATGTATATCTTCTATTAGACATGTCTAGGAGTTTATGGTAAACAAAAAAGGATAATAGTCTAGTCATAAAATATGTGTATCCTCAGTTTAACTAGATGATGCCAAATAGATTTTTAAATTACATTCCTACCAATAAATTATGAGAGTTGTGGTGTATTATATCATCACCAGAACTTGCCCTTGTCAGATTTTAAAAGTTTATGCAATATAAAGTAGTATCTTGTGGTTTCATCTTGCATTTTTCTGATGGCTAATGTAATTGAACATCTTTTTACATGTTTGTAAGCCATTTGCTTCTCCCCTTCTGTGAAATGCCTTTGTTTAGTTTTCTATAGGGTTGTTTGTCTTTTTCCTATTGATTTTTAGGACTTATATATTCTAAATGTTAATAATTTACTGGTTAAACATAACTCTAAAATTTAAAGCTGCTGAGCTATGCTGGGATAACTGGATAGTTACACACAAAAGAATGAAATTGAACCCACTACTTCATACCATATTACAAAAATTAGTTTAAAATGAATCAAAGACCTAACTGCAAAAGGTAAAAAGAAAACATGGGTGTAAATCTTTGTGATCTTAGGTTAGGCAGTGGTTTCTTGGATCTGACACCTAAAGCACAAGCAAACAAAGAAAAAATAGATAAATTGGCCTTCATCAAAATTTGAAACTTGTGTATGTCAAGGATACCATCAAGAAAGTGAGAAGACAACCTGTAGAAGGGAAAACATATTTGCAACTCCTTTATCTGATAGAGGACTTGTGTCTAAAATATATGAAGAAATTTTAGTACTCACTAGTGGAAGCATATTACCAAATGTAAAAGTGGACAAAGAATCTGAATAGACATTTCTCCGTAAAAGACAAATGTGAAAAATAATCACATAAAAAGATGCTCAGCATCATTAGCCAGTAGGGAAATACAATCAAAATTACATTGAGGAAGCACTTCATACCTAGTAGGGTGGCTCTAAACAAGAAAATAGATAATAACGTGTGTATGGGGATGTGGAGAAAATAGCGTTCTCACGCACTGCTGTGGGAATGTAAAATGGTGTAGCCACATTGGAAAACAGTCTGGCAGTTCCTTGAAAAGTTAAACATGGCGTTACTATATGATCCCACAGTTCCACACTCAGGCTGCTCTAACAAGTACCATAGCCTGGGTGGCTTAAACCATGGACATTTATTTCTCACAGTTGTGGAAGCTGAAGAGTTTGAGATTAAGGTGCCAGCAGTTTTGATGCCTCCTGAGAACCCTTACCCTGGCTTCAGAGAGCACCCTTCTTGCTCTGTGCTCACATGGAGGAGAACAAGCTCTGGTCTCTTCCTCTTCTTTTAAGGACTCTAATCCCATTACAGGGTCCCACCCTCATGACCTCATCTAAACCTAATTATTTCCTAAAGACTCCATTTTCAAATACCATCACACTGGGGGATTAGAGCTTCAACATATGTACTTCGGGAAGGACACAAACATTTAGTCCATACTGGGCATATATACTTAAGAGAAATGAAAACTATGCCCAAACAAAAACTTGTACGTGAATGTTGATAGCAACATTATTCATGATAACCAGAAAATGGAAACAGCTCACATGTCCATCAACTGTTAAATGGATAAATAAAATGTGATATGTTCATACAACGGACTGTTATTCAGCCATTAAAAAGTGAATATTGATACACACTACAACATGGATGAGCTTTGAAAACATTATGCTAAGTGAAAAAAGCCATATAATATATGATTCCATTTAGGTATGTCCAGAATAGGCAAATCTACAGAGACAGAAAATAGATAAGCTTAGGCCTGGGGAAGGTGAGAGGTTGAGGGAGGGGAGTGACTGATAATGGGTAAGGGGTTTTTGATGGGGAGAGGATTAAAATGTTCTAAAATTGACTGTACCGATATTTGCACATATCTGTGAATATACTAAAAACCATTGGCTCGTGCACTTTAGGTGTATAAATTGCATGGTATGTGAATTATATCTCAATAAAGCCATTATTTTAAAACAACAGCAACTGTTCTAATAGCACATGGCACATGGGCCTGGGGTCTGATGCCCCAGATAGAGGATGTCTAGGAAGGATTCAGAGTGAATGCTATAAATGGATCCAGGAAGTTAAGGAAAGACACAGTTCTATCTTAACTGGAAATACATAACAGGCTAGATAACTTTGGAAGATCTCTTCATTATTTTTTTTAATGTTTATTTTGAGAGAGAGAGAGAGAGAATACATAAGTGAGCTGAGCAGGGGAGGGGCAGAGAGAGAGGGAGAGAGAGAATCCCAAGGAGGCTCTGTGCTGATAGCCCCATGTGGGGCTCAATCTCATGAACCGTGAGATCATGACCAGAGCCAAAATCCAGAGTCAGAAGCACAGCAGACTGAGCCACCAGGTGCCGCTGAAAGATCTCTTTTAAAAGCAACAAGAACAACAACAAAAACAAAAAACCTTGAACATAAAGCTTAGTTGAGTTGAATTTTTTGTGGGCACTGTTGAACTATTCACAAATTTATAAATGTGTTTCTAAGTTGGCATTATTCTGGGTTTCTGTTTGCTTTTTCTAGTTATCAAATGCTTGTTGGAAAATCTTGAGGAGGAAATATCTCAGGCTGAAAATTCTCTGCTTCAGGCAGCAGCATCATTTCCACTATATGGGCGAGCCCACTGTATAACAGGAGCTTTGCAGAGGTTGTCTCTAAAGTAAGTATATCCACAACTCTCTCCCGAGCACGCATTTCTGAGCTCTCAACTCTTACTGGAATGTGTCCTAGGAAAGGAATGTATTGCGTTAAAGAGAATTCAAAGTTAGATTTTAAAAGGTACCTATGTACACATATTTTTATATGTCTTAAATATTTCATAGATTGCACAGTTTAGAAACAAATTGTTTCAACTTCTTATGTGTCATAATTTCCATTTGGAATTTTTGATTGTTTGCTTTTACTACAAATTTCCCTACTGCCTTCTGTTGCAGCAGCCTGCAGTTGGTGAGTGAATGGAGACCTGTGGTAGAGAAGCTCCTCTTGGTGTCGTATAGGCTTTCTGCCGTGGTGTCTCCGGTCATTCAGAGTTCCTCCCCAGAAGGCCTCATCCCAATGGACACTGATTCAGGTCAGCAGATGAAAGAAACCGTAATTATTATATTTTTCCTCATTACCTCCCCCCAATGTACCCCCCCCAAACCATTTTTTGGGGAAGATATAAAAGTTAAATAGGTTGGTTAAGGAATTGCTTATGATTAGTAAGATTGCTGCCACTTTAGTATTGTTTTTTACTCTTAAAAAATAACCCAAACAAACAAATCAATAAAGCCGGATGAGTGAAGGACTTTTTCTCCTGAGGTAGATTGGATTTTCTAGTATTGTCATTTCGGAGCACCACCTACTAGATAGCAGCTGGGACTGGGAGAGTGGGCAGGATAAATCAGAGAGGTGGGGTTCAGTCAGAGAGGGCAACCTGTTAGGAATCTGGAATGGGGAAAGAGCATTTGATATACAAAGACCATTTAATTAAAAAAAGAAATAGGAGAAGATACTCAAAATGCCCCAAATTGAACTCATGAACTTTCATCTGTCTTTTCCCTCCCAACCCCTGTGTCTTTGTAAATGGCCCTACCAAAGATCTGTTTACATAAGTCAAGAGCCTCGGACTGCTTGACGTCTCTGTCTTGCTCCGTATATACTGCCTGTCCTCAAATTCTTTCAGTGGTGCCCCTTAACTGTCTTTCAAATCCATTCTCTTTTTATCTGTATCTTCTAACCTTACTCCAGGCTCTCCTCCTCTCTTGTTAGGATGACTCCACGGGCCTCCCAACTGGTTTCTCCCCATCTCTTGGCTCATTCCATTTCCTTTTTACTGTGTTCACAGCAGTTTTTTCTCATATAATTCATCATGTTCCACATTATCTCTGCTTAACCCTTGTTGTCTGCCCCACTCCATCTCCCTTTATTTAAAATACTTGAGTGACCTCAGATCAGATCCTATAATAGTTGGGCTCCTGCAACCTTGCCAGTCTCATTTCTTACACTTTTCTTCTTCCCAAAGCATTCCACATGGAGTTGTTGCAATTTAATTAACAGGGATCTTCTCGGTATTTTCCTCCCTTGTGCTTAGCAAGTGCCTGGTAGAAAGAGGTTTACAATAAATATTTGTTATAATGAATAAACCAATGCAGGAATGATTCCTGAAAGGTTAGGAACTAAGTGTGTGGGATGTCGTAGGTGACATATATATACCTGTATTACAACAGCCAGAAGGGATTGGATGCTAAAGGTGTTATACTAACAGGAGTATTCCTTTGAACACCTAGAAAATCATGAAGAAAATTTACATTTGGCATTGAAACATAGTGAATGCATTTTGGAGTGCAAATGAGAGTCTTGTACTAAAAACACACTGAGCATATATCACAAATACCCAATTAAAGTAACTTGGAATTGTGTGTTTGTGTGAAAATGTTAGATTTTGTTCTTAACTAAAAATGAGTTGGCAGATTGATGATGGTTCATGATCTTAAGACACAGTTATTTGTTAATTTTGGCTGAGAGTTGACCAAAAATTGATGTTTTAGTTTTCTTACTTAAACAGTACATGGGAGTAAGGAACATTCAATCTCAAAGCTAATATTTGGATCAGGCAAGTACCAGTATATTCTGAATGAGAAATCTTGAATGTTTGTCACCTATTGTGGGTGGGGCCTATAGACTATGCTAAAATTCTGTTTGTTATTCAGGTTTTAAAATACCTGTTGGTCTCAAAAACAGTCTGTGGCCCAAAGACTTTTCCTTGATTTTTGCCTTTTCTTTTTTCCTCTGGTTGTCTCCATTTTTCCTGTTTTTTTGTTTTTTTTTTTTCCCACACTATCTGCCATGCATTCTGAATTTCTTGAAAATGTTTCTTTTCTCTGAAAGCCATAAAAATAAATGGGTCACATTTTATTCTGATTATCCTTTTTTTCTAAGTCTTTCCATGGTTTCTATTTGGAGCCAGTGATAACTTTTTTTTTTTTTTTTGTATTTTGAGAGAGAGCAAGTGAGAAAGAGAGCATGACCAGGGGAGGGGCAGAGAGAGAGAGGGAGACAAAGAATCCCAAGCAGGCTTCATCCTCAGCCCGGATGGAGCCTGACTCAGGGCTCGATCCCACGACTGCGAGATCACTACCTGAGCCGGTATCAGGAGTCGGCTGCTTAACCAACTGAGCCACCCAGGTGCTCTGCCAGCAATACATTTTCATGGCTGTCAAAATTTGTTTTGGCAATATTTCATGGAGGTCACGAATGAACAGAAGACATTGGTTGAATCATCATGGTAGCAGTTTGGGTCTTTATAGCTCCTTTTAGACCTAAAATGTAAGTTTGTGTAATAGGTATATGAAATACCCATTCTTTGATTCGTTAATTGGTTTCAGGTGATTAGCTGTCGTTATTTATTTATGTTTTTTCTTAAAATATCTGAGCCTGGCTAGCTCTTATTACTGTGTCACGTATTCATTCCCTTAGTCCATGTTACTGAACCTCTGCCATGAGCCAGTGGCTGGTGTAGGCGCTGGAGACCCAGCAGCGAACAAAGTGTTGCATTCATGGAGCTTGCATTTCCTAATCCATTAAGTGCTTAAGGAATAAATATGAAGTTCAATATAATACTAGGATTGTAAATCATACTTAGAAAGCAGTATATTGTGTAATGTATTTCAAAGTCAAATATAGAGTCTTTATAATCTTTCTGGGCTATAAAAACGTTTTTTTCTTTATTTCTAATTGAAGCATGGTTGACAATACGATATTATATTAAGGATTGTTTTTGTTGTTGTGGTTTCTTACCTCTTAAAACAAAATTGCACTTTGGTGCTCTTTTTTCACGTGATTGAGCACCGTCTTGGAGATTCTTAGACAACACTAAGAAAAGCAACGTAAATGAGATGGTGGTCTTTGTCCTATGGAGAGTTTCTGTTGTATTGTTTTGTCCTGTCTTCAACCAATTTAAAATTTTTGTCGTATTTTAAAAGCATACTCAAGTGTCATGAAGATCTTACATAAATAATTTTCACATTATCTACCCCATGTGACCCTTCTAATAGAGCTGATTATTAAGTATTAAAAGTTACAGGGGCACCTGGGTGGCTTGGTCGGTTAAGCGTCTGACTTCGGCTCAGGTCATGATCTCATGGTCCGTGAGTTCGAGCCCCGCATCGGGCTCTGTGCTGATAGCTCAGGGCCTGGAGCCTGTTTCCGATTCTGTGTCTCCCTCTCTCTCTGCCCCTCCCCTGTTCATGCTCTGTCTCTCTTTGTCTCAAAAATAAATAAACGTTAAAAAAAAAAATTACAAAATTTGGGAAGGCAAATACCCCCAAGGGAAATCTGCAAGGGATTCGGAACTGGAGTTTGTGCACTCCCATTTTTTTCCCTCAGAGTCAGCAAGCCGCTTACAGACGATTCTGAGTGAGATTCAGCCACGAGATACTAATGACTACTTCAATCAAGCCAAAATACTGAAAGAACGTGATAGTTTTGATTTGGAGGACTTGAATGCCAGTGTGCCGGATATTGGTGCTTCTGCAGAGATCAAAGGTAGCATGTATAAAATCAATATTGTAATATTGTAATCGGTGTTTTAGTGACAAAATGTACAAAATGCTCTGTTTATATAGTAAATCAGGCTGCAGATGTTTGCAGAGCATTTCTAGAAAATAAAGCCTTTGAGCTTATCAATGATTTATTTTGAGGAATGAGTTTCTAAGACTTTTACCAGAAAATGGTGCATCCCAGTGTGGCGTAGAAGGTGCTCCAACAGAAAGCTTTTTAGTGCTAACAGCTGTCTTGACAGCCAGGTTGTGTAAGAGCAGTGGTGCCCTGTGAACTTGGGTTTGGGTAGCAGTCGGCTCCTCCCCTCCGTGTGGTTCATTGTCTTCAGTGAGAGTCCTTACAACCAGGCAGGCTTTTAAGGGAAATCAGCCTTATTACTCAGTAAAGTGGGAGCTGCTCTGTTGTATCAAGCGTCCAGAAGTTGTGTTCTTACTGCTTGTTTTCTCATTAGTTGTTACTGTGTCATTTTCTATAGTGTTATAAAAAGTCATCACTAGTAATATCCTTGTGATTTATTACATATCCTACGTTGTCCACTAGATGGAGATATTGACTTAACAAAATTTCTTTGTGTTTTTATTTTTTTAAATTACACACTATAACATCTAAATATATGCTTATTGTAATAGTTTCAAGCAATAGAGAGGTATATTTTAATTAAAAACAAATTAAAGCCTCAATTAAAATTTCAATTCAATGTTTACATTTTACCTTAAAAAACAAAAACAAAAAAAAAAGAAATTAAAATTTGTTATTTCTTCCCCATCCCACTTCTTCTCTTTTGAATGTATGTGCTTTTAGATCTATTCTATGTATTGATGTGTATGTACATTTACTCTTTGAGTTTAGCGGGCTTTTAAAAAACACAAATGGGGTTACATTATAAATATTGTTTTGTTACCTTGCCTTTTAAATTGTCTTGGGTTTTTTTTTAATGTCAGTACTAAAATATTCTTAAATCAAGAAAAAAAGAGTAAGCATAATTATTACTTATGGGCCATGGAATTTAAATATGTTTTGAAAGAGAATTTGTATTTTCCTTTGATTTTAAAAGTTTTATCTTGCCCCTTTACTGATATAACAGCCACCGTCACCAAGATGAATAATGAGGTATATTTATTATGGTCAATTTATGGATGACCACGAGGCAGAGAGAGTTTGTTTCATTAATTTCTGAAAGTTAGACTTAAGTTTTGAAATGGTGTTGTGTTTTATTTCAAAATTTATTTTGAAAACAAACTATATTAAAAAATGCTTAGCACGATTCCTACTGAGAGCACATGCTCAACAAATGTTAGTTGTTTTCTCATGAATAAATATAAGAATTGATTTGTTCAAGCAGATTACTCTTGGGAAAATTATGAATAATCTTATTCTAAGAAACCTGGGATGTGAGTAATCAAGTGTCTAGTGTTGCAAGAGATTGTTTTTTTTTTTAAGGTAAAGAAAGAAAAACATGCGATGTAACTGCTCAGATGGTGCTGGTGTGTTGTTGGCGAAGTATGAAGGAAGTTGCCTTACTTTTAGGCACGCTGTGCCAGCTTCTCCCCATGCAGTCCACGCCAGAACCCCGCAGCGGATTATTGACAGTGGAGCAGGTAGGTATATGTTTATTCCACCTGGTATAATTTCTGGTCCCATAACTCGAAAACAAATGAGTTTTGAATTTTTCTTGAATAAAATCATACAGATGTCAGCTGAAGAAAATTCATGGGAGTATAGAAATTAGGCCTTGGAGTACATTTCCAAACGGTGGCAGTTTTAGAAATTTTTATTTTTCTAAGTTATAAAGAACTGTCGATTTTACCTTCTGTCTTCAAGATTATCATTTTAATTTTTATTTCTCCATTTACCATATATAAATTTAAATTGTAAATTAAAAAAAATTTTTAATGTTTATTTATGAGAGAGAGACAGAGCATGAGCAGGGGAGGGGCAGCGAGAAAGGGAGACAGAATCTGAGGCAGGCTCCAGGCTCTGTACTGTAAGCGGGGCTCTTACTCATAGACTGTGAGATCATGACCTTAATCCAAGTCGGATGCTTAACCGACTGTGCCACCCAGGAGCCCCAAATTTAAATTGTAATTTTAAATGAAATTGTCTATTTAGCAAAACTCCACAAACCTCTTACATTTCTTAAATTAAAAAAAAATTTTTTTAAATGTTTATTTTTTTGAAACAGACAGAGCATGAAGGGGGGAGGGGCAGAGAGAGAGGGAGACACAGAATCCAAAGCAGGTTCCAGGCTCTGCACTGTCAGCACAGAGCCTGACGTGGGGCTTGAACTCGTGAACTGTGAGATCATGACCTGCGCCAAAGTCAGATGCTCAACCGACTGAGCCAACCAGGCACCACTTACATTTTTTTTTATGTTTACTTATTTTTGAGAGAGAGACAGACAGTGCGAGTGGGGGAGGGACAGAGAGAGAGGGAGACACAGCATCTGAAGCAGGCTCCAGGCTCTGAGCTGTCAACACAGAGCCCGACGTGGGCCTTGAACTGTAAGACCATGATCTGAATCGAAGCCGGACGCTCAACTAACTGAGCCACCCAGGAGCCCCAAACCTCTTAAACTTCTTAAAGGAAAATGGTGCACCTGGGTGGCTCAGTTGATTGAGTGTCTGACTCTTGATTTTGGCTCAGGTCATGATCTCACAGTTCGGTTCGCTGTTAGCCTGGAGCCTGCTTGGGATTCTTTCTGTCTGTCTCTCTCTGCCCCTACCCCACTCACTCACTCTCTCCCTCTCTCTCTCTCAAAATAAATAAATAAACTTAAAAAAAAATTTGGAAAGGAAAAAAAGTGCTATATTGGTTACTTATGGATCTCTTGCTTCCTACTACATTGATAATAAAATTGTAGTCACTTTGGTTTTTTGGCTGACTTTTATTTTAAGACCACAAAGTCAGGTCACCATCTGGGACTATTCAAGTGACTTGAGTGCAATGTTTACAAGAAATTAGCTTACCACAAGCATTTCATTTGGAAATATTTTAGATTTATTAGATTTCTGTTTTTAATTGATTCTCTCTTCCTTTCCATATGGTTTCAGCAAATCTATTTCCCACCGTTTTCCAGCAAAGATATATAACACGTACTTTCATTTGTACCCTTTATCAAGTAAGGTAATTTTTCCCGTAGGGTGTTACATTTAAGAACAAAACAAATATCGTAGTACACTAAATGCTGATTATTTCTGTAATAACCATGTGACTAGTTCCATGGAAATAATGCTAATATTTTTATTCACACACTCTCCGTGGCCATGTGCTTGCATCTGGTTAACAGCTGGTCCTGTGATGTTGCAAGGCCCTGAGGCGGAGAATGGTGAAGAACAGTGCACTGCCAGCATCATTGTGTTCCTCATTCTCCTCCAAATCAAATAGGCGTCAGTGTTCTAGAGTTACTTGCAGTCATTGCTGGTGACCAGCTGCAGTGCCAATGCCAACACCTTCGCGGGGGAATCCAGCTATGATTAATGATTACTTCACTGATGTGTACCGTCTTACTAAGAAGTAAACATGTGCAAGAGTCTCTTCCCTGTTCAACTCCTCTTTCCAAGGGCAAGTTAAAACGCCTAGTTTTTTGGGGTTTGTTGCGTAGTGTTTAAGAAAAATTAGGGGAGCCTGGGTGGCTCAGTTGGTTAAGCGTCCAACTCTTGATTTCAACTCAGGACATGATTTCCCAGTGTTTGAGTTTGGGCCCTGTGTCAGACTCTGCACTGCCAGTTCAAAGCCTGCTTGGGATTCTCTCTCTCTCTCTCTCTCTCTCTCTCTCTCTCTCTCTCCCTCTCTCTCCCTCTCTCCCTCTCCCTCTCCCTCTCCCTCTCCCTCTCTCCCTCTCCCTCTCTCCCTCTCCCCCTCTCCCCCCTCTGTGCCCCTCCCTGCCTCTCTCTCCCCTTCCCCTCCCCAAAATAAATAACTACACTTAAAAAAATTAAGGGAAGCATATTTTGCTTTCTCTATAGTCGAGAAAGACCTGAAAGCTTTCTGTGAAAACCATGTGTCCTTGACACATAGCATAGCATTGGGTGCTTTTTACATAGCACCCAAATGGTTTGAATTTAATTTACGTGGGATAACGGTGTTGGGACTGAGAATTAATATAAACTAAAAGAGATGTTTGTAAAAAAGAAAAAAAAAAGACAAAACAACAACAACAATAGCAACAATAGCAGAGAGGTTCCCATCAAGCAAAGGATTCTTCTAATGGCTGTTTTCTTGAATACAAAATAGAATCTTGTTTTTCTGTAAATTACGAATTTCTTTCCTAATGAGATTCAGCCATTTTTCCACGTCGCTGTTCACATGATGACATCACATTTTTGGTTTGAGAGGAAACTAACAACTGAATGAGCAATCAAGAATGTACGTGATAGCACTGTTCTGACCTTGAAACCATGCTGCCTGTGGAAGACTTTATTCTTGATCATGCTGTCTTTAAAGAAATGCCTCCATTTAGGAGTCTTTAGTCAGTGAAAATCAAAGTCATCAAGAAATTAGTGTTATATTGCTTAGAAGATTCCTACTTTTAGACATAGAATTTTGCTCCATGAAATTCTTTTAAATAAAAATATTTCCATGTACTTAAAACCTTTAAGAGTTAAAAAATATATACATGACAGAGAGGATATAATTTATATTGAAGTGGCTGAGCCATGCCTGAAGTCCACTTTCCTCCCCAGGGCGCAGTCACCCTTATGACACTACATCTTTTGTGCACCTAGCAGCAAAACTAAGAATTTAAGAGTCAGTACCCGAGGTGAGGGTATCCGTGATAGACTTGCACAGACAGAAGCAGTGAAGTGACTTGTAGGCAGAAGTCACTTGTGGGAGGAATCTGGGACGTGTATTTCTTATTCCCAAGAATAATAATAACCGTGTTCTACTTTTCTCTCAGTGGATGGAGGCTTTTCCATACGACCTAAAATATTGACGCTCAGCCCGATGCTTCTTTTACTCTCAATTCACCCTTCACTCTTGAAAATAGTATGGTTCTATTCTAATTTAAAACTTGATGTCTCAGATTTGTAGCCTGATTCCTTTAATCCCATCCTGGTTTTAGGGCCGTTTGTTGAAGGGATGACCACTTAAATCCTGCATACATGAGGGGGTGGTTTCTAGCCAGCTGACCGGCAGTGAGATACAATTTGAAGATTACAGTTTGCTGCTGTACAAGAAGGTCTGGTGCCTGTTCGTGACTCAGTTTTCAGTGCTGTGTTCACAGACTGTGAGAGCTGGAAGGATCACAGGGATGATATGATCTAGCCTTCTTATATGATCTAGCCTTCTCATACAAGGGGAAACTGAAGCCGTTGGATGTCACCTGGTTTGCCCAAGATCACAAAGCTGGTTTGTGGCAGTTGCAGGACTGGAACCCGGTTCTCCTTTCCAGCCTGTGTTCGGACACGGCACAGTGCTGCCTTTATTCTGAACTGCTCGTTTAATTTTTCTTTAAATTTAATTTTCCCTACTTCCCATGCCCAGCCAGACGTTTACAAGCAACAGGACAGTAAGGCAACTTGCTACTGAACTTTTCAGCAAATGATTCATTTCCCTAAATCACTTCTTGTGAAGCAGTGTGTCCTCCACGGCTTCGGCAAGAGGAAAATGTGTTCATTCAGAGGCATGTCTGACTTTCCTCCTGCAAGGTAATCACCGAATGAAAGGTTCTTTCATAATGTTCTGTGCAAGAGGCAGAGATAAAACCAACTCTGAGGGATGTAAGTCGAGCCCCTTAAAGAGCGGGCGGTACGCGCAACCTTATCTCACAACTTCCTGGCTGGTGTGTGTCTAGGTTTCAAGCTGGATGTTTCGCTGAGGCAGAGCTTTTTTTGATACATTTCGTTGGTCCTTTTCCCAAGGGATATTGGATACCCAGCGTCTACTGATTTTTTGTAAACAGCTCCCTCTATCCGGAGTATCAATTCATATGTTTATGTATTTCCTCTAATATTCCTAAAAAGAAGCTTTGGGGTAAAATTTTTGTATCTGTTTTCCCCTTCCTACTAATTATTGCCCTACAACTCACGTGAATGAAAATCATTACCGATTAGAAATCAGCTATTTTTTTTAAATTCCTACTTTAGATTCTGTTGTCATTTTTATGATGCTTGTGGCTAATTGGGTTTACACGTTTTCTCAGTGTCTTGGTTACCGTTTTAGATTTTCCGTAATGGTCTGCAACAGGAGATCTAGGTTTATTGGCATTTGTAAGTCGTAAAGAAATTGCCTTTTGTATTTTGCCAGGGTTTATTGTTTAGAAATTATGAATAAGTATGCATTGAATTGTACTGAATTCAGGTTACCATTTTTAAGCTGTGAAATGGAATTAAACACATCTTTTAAGTCACCTGTTTGTTGACTGCCATACGACAAGGGTGTTGTGGGAACGTAAAGAAATGTAATATGTGGTTCTCTGACCTCGAGGGGCTTAGAAATGTAATGGGAGATACAAGATATACGTTTGTAGAAAGTTAGACTAAAGGACACCAGTTAAAATGGCACGTGGTTAGGAATTTGCTAGAAAGCAAAGAATAAACTGCTAAGAAGATGTCTAAATACCAGAAAAATATAATCTTTGTTGTTATTATGTAGGAGA